CTTGCACTCCTCCTCCTTCTCCTCCTCCTCCTCTTCCTCCTTCTTCTTCTTTTTCTCCTCTTCCTCCTCCTCCTCCTCCTCTTTCTTCTTCTTCTTTTCTTTCTTTTTTTTTTTGTCTTTTTGAGGAGGGGGTTTTCCTATACAGTTCAGGCTGGCCTTGGGTTCACTTTGTAGTCCAGGCTGACCTCCAGCACATGGATCCTCCTGCCTCAGCCTCCTGTGTGTTAGGAATATCGGCAGGTACTGCCCACCACACACAGCCGATTTATGGCTCTTTAGAAGTCTGATTCAGAGCCAGGGAGACGGCTCAGTAGAATAAGCGCTTCCCTGGCAAGTGCAAGGGCCCCAGTTCCACCAAAAAAAAAAAAAAAGTCTAATTCAAAAAATACTTTCTAGATTTAAAAACATTACAATATATACATATCTACTTATGGTGAAGTAAAATAATAACTAATGTTATGTGTAAATCTCAGAATTCTGTGGTGAGTTTTTAATAACTACAAAATACTTTACTAGAGATTGTCTTATTGTCTACCTAATTTTTTTTGGTTGAAAACAGTGCCCTATTCTTTTTTTATTGAGAAACAAATATCAATGAGACAGTTTCAAAGCTGATTAATAGGACAGTTTCAATAATTAACACATTGCACATTGTTATCTTCTTAGTGGTTATCCACAGTATAAGAAGCAGACAGGATATTCTGTGCTGCTACAATGCTGTATGTGGTTAGATTTCTAAATTTCTGGGTAAAAATATGTAAGAGTTTATTTCTATTTTTTAAATTATTTTCTTCTTCATATTCTGTAAGGACTTAAAGTTCAACATATCAATCAATACTTGATGGAAAATACCTGTTCCACGTTATGCCTATGATGTTTGATATTTAGACAGATAGTTAGGGTAAACTGAACTGCATATGTTGCAGGGTAATAATAAGCTTCTCTTCTGGAGGGTTAACCACCTAAGTTTGCAGATCAAAACATGGAGAAAAGGAAGGGCTGCAAGGTCAGCCGACATTTTGGCCCAAGCCTTTCAAGGTCAGTGAAGACTCAGGACATAGGAGAACCTGTACTGTAACATCATGTAACTCAGTTGTGCCCCAAATTTTCTGATCAAGGAGATTATGTGGCCACAGAGGAATGTGGTCGAGAATGTAGAGTGTGCCTAATGGAGAGTCACATGGAGAGAAAACATTCTCTCAGGCTTTCACAGAGAGCAAATTGGTCAAGTAATGGCCGTGACTCATCCGCATGGCTGACACTGACAAAGGATCTACAAAGTGCAGTACAGGGTTACAGGGTAAATCCTGAGGGGACTTGACTGACCTTATTGGATACAAAAGTTACATTTCTTGTTATATAGGTCTTGCTTTATCTTGGTCTTAACCATCCAGCAGAAAATGAGGTATATAAAGTAAAGCCATATTAATATGCTGAGCTGTAAAAGGCTCAAGTGAATAACTTCTGAGGATAACCCACTACTATTATGAACTGCTGGACAGTGCTGGATTGTTTTTCTGAATTCATGCACCTATAGTATTTAGATGCCAATAGAATACCCACCTCTGACAGGACTGAACAAAAAAGGGGATAAAAAGGGAAGGACCATTTTGTATCTGTATATACAGAATAGTTAGGATAGGTATACAGCTACTTTCACTTAATTCAATGAGAAGAAAGATTTGTACTAATAGTGATTCACTTTAGAAACAGGGAGAAATGTCAGAACCATTGCAAAGAGGAACAGGTCTGGGAGTGGATTCCTGCCACACCCTTCCTCCTCCCCCAACCTAACCACAAACCCAAAGAAAGATGAAAAAAAAAGAGAGAGAGAGAGAGAGAGAGAGAGAGAGAGAGAGAGAGAGAGAGAGAGGTTGAATGACCACATGGCATCAGAGAATTAGGGAAGTGGCACTTTCCCACAACTCTCTAAAGCCCATCCCTGGACTTGATGTCGGGCACTGAAGATGACCCTGAGAGCTGCAAGCACGAGCCCCCACTCCACGGCTTGGGGTGGGGGTGGGGCGTCCTGCAGCAGCCTGACCCAGTTGGATCCTCTATCCTGCGTGGACACTGATGTGACAGGCCAGTGGGGGAGCGTTTAGGGGTCGCGGAGGGGGCCATTGAGTCCTGCTGGGGAGAAGGCTGAGGGGTCTCAGGCAGGACCTTGACCTTGTGGGTGCTGTGGCACTGAGGAGGCTGTGATCACGGCCTCATGGAGCAAGAAGAGCCTCACAGCCGAATGAACGGGTGAGAAAAGCGGAGTGGAACTGACCACCCCTGAGCACCCACTGAGGCCACATGCTTTTGCTGGGGCCGAATACACACAACTGGGTCGATAACTCGAGTCCCAGAGGCATCTGCAAGACAAGCCGCCAGGGGAAAGCCATCGGGGTGAGAGTGGAGGTTCTGGATTTCCTTTCCAGGGAAGAAGGATGAGATCAGCAGCCTTGTGCTCTGGCTTGCTCACCCCCAATTCCAAGCCAGTCTCGGGAATCAACCCCAGCCTGGGGGGTTCTGGAGGGGGCCCAGGCCCACAAAGCTGTGTTCCTCACTCCCCAGGCCACAGGCCACACCAGCTGCTCGCCATGGCCATCGTGGTTCCCCTCCCGGTGCTGGGGGGCTGCAGTCAGGTGCACAGAGAAAGAGGAAGGTGCAGGTTAGCAAGTGGCTGGTGGTCACAGCCCCCAGCCTCGAGGTAGGCGTGATGGAGACACCACCACAGGCACAGAGGACAAACAACTCCTGGGTAACAGGTTTAATGAGTAATCTGTTACTCATCAAAAGCATGATTGTGTTTTCTTTCCCGGAAAGAGTCAGGAACTTGGGGGTGCAGTTACCCTAACTTTTCCCTTAGAATAGATAACTACAAGCGGAACAAAGCTTAACCTCCATTTGGTAACCTTAATTATTACCTTAAGCTTGGATACAGGCATGTATTAATCATGTAGGGACAGTTTACAGATAAGGCCCTCTAGCCCTCAATTGATCACGTCCATCTCGGGCCCCCTTCAAGCCTGGGCCACCCTACACACAAGTGGCAGGAGTCAGTCTCAGGATGCTCAGGGGTGTCCAGTGCCAGCTTTCCCAAAGTCCAGTTCCCGACCCCTTCCTGGGGCATCCTGAGAACTCCGCAGCCATTGTCTAAATGGGTGGGTGCTGGGCCTTAGGAAGAGCAGAGCCTTACGAGGCTGAGGCTGCTACAAACCAAGACAAATGTCTCATGAAAACCTCGCCGCACCTCAAGCCACCCCGAGCCACAATACTCCTCCAGGCCTGAGATAATGACCCACCAGAGCCCAGCCTGCACAACACCCCGACTGGTGTCTGTTCTTTTGTCAGCGGGCTGTCTCCTCCTCTTCCTCTTCAGACCTCTGCCCCTTTGCTTTCTCAAACTGAAGCCTTTTCCTATTTTCTTTCTTTCTTTCTTTCTTTCTTTCTTTCTT